CCCATACAGCAAGATCCTCTTTTGATCTGTACATAAAGATTTTGTTTTATTTTGTATATAGATTCCCTCTTTCAGTGTTTTCAGAAGCTGTCTCAGAAAGTCATTTAGGATAATAGGTTTCCTAGATATTCTTATGTGAGCAGAGGATTTAGGTTGAAGTTAAGAGGATTTTCTTCCTGGTTTTAAATAGAAGATCTTTTGGAAATTTCAGGAGAATTTGGCAGATGCTACACAGGGAACTCTGTGGTACACTTTTTTGGTAGGCAGTCAACTCATGTTCAGAAAGTTAGGCCTTAGCAGAGTTATATGTATGAGCTACTTGAAATTGCCCAAGCCCACAACAAAGGGTTCAACCTGGTTTTCGCTTCTTGTGTTATTTGCTTTGTGTCTTGAAACAATCTGTAAATTTCTTGGCCTTGTGAATATGCAATTCTGTTGCTGGATTAGAGAAAAAAGCTTGGCTTCTGTGGTCTGGCAAGGCTTCCTTTGCTGGTTGTTTTCAGAGTGGGAGGCACTACATTCTGAAGGTCAGAGAAGTCATGACACATTGTGGGTAAGCTCATCAGCTCCTTACTTCACAGTGAGTTCAGAAGCATGATGTAGGCAGTCCAGTAAGTGATGGTCATGATGTTCTGTGGCAGAACATTTGGGTTTCCCTACAGGTGTAATCAGTATGAGGTGAGTCATCAGTCATCACATTTTCTGGAAGAGTCAGAAGAGAAAAAGTTTAGAATGAAATTGAATACAGAGTTATAATTCACTTTTGTCATTCATAGGAGAGGATGAGGTTCTGCATTAAGCTTGCTCACCCAAAAGGCTCTCAGTAGCATGGTTCTTATGCTAAGTTCTTATTAGAAAAGAATAGAGACCACATACGTGACTTTTGCAGTCTTTATTGAATATTATTTATGCTAGGATGTGTAAGGATGTGTTGTGCAAACATGTCCTTTTAGATCACTAAAATGTCTGGTGGAGCAGGTCATGGAGCCAGTGGTGGTAAAGGGCAACATGGAGAGCTAACTAGCCAAGGGAAGGGAAAGGGACACATGGAAATCATGAGGGAGTCTGAATGACTGGGCCAGAAGGAGCTAAAGGACTGGAAATCTCCTTTCCTGGGAAACTAAGCTCCTCTTCACTGATCTGCATATGATTTAGCTCACTATGAATTTTGCTGGAGGAAGATTCTCAGTCAACAAATTCCCCAGGTGGAGATGGTTCAATGATCAGGAGTGTGACTGACACATAAGATTGTGAAATTTGCTAATGGAAAACATCCGCAAATTTAAACTCTTGGTAAATGTACTAGACATATCCCCCCCCTGTTTCAGTACAGCTACTTCTTTGAAGGCTAAAGAGTTCTTAGAATGAGTGTTGACTCAAGGCCCAAGGCTTCATAAGGCAGATATATCAAGAGAAACAATTTGAGAACTTGTTGATTTGATTTTTAGCTAGTATTCATAGTTTTAGATCATAACTTGTTTTCATATCTGAAGGACTAAAAGGACAAAAAGGAGATGACACATAGGGATTTGAAATTTAGAGCTTTTCTCCATTTCCAATACACATTTCTAAAGAGCATCTTCCAGGATAGGTAGCCTTTGGTATCTTCCAGGCACTCTGACTCTGGGAGGACAAGTGAAAGCTTGCAATCTAAAGATTTCCTGGCTCCTCCATCTTTTCTATGGGCACATGATTCCAGCTGACATAACATCCCCAGGTTTCATGGTTTAGAGAGAAACTCTGCAAGCCTAGAAGTCTTCTACCAAACTGGGGGTATGAGGAGGAGGGAGTCAGGGTGTTAAGAGTTGGGATGTTAAGAAAGAAGGCTTTACAGTATCTAAATGAGGTTTCTCTCATGCTCCTAACTGCAGTTTCTGGTATGAGGACATAAAAATTCACTTGGGAGAGAAAAATGGGTAAAAAAAATAAACTTAGAAGTCTCTTTCAATTGTTTGTCCTTCTCCATTCTCTTTTTACTCCTTCCCTTCTTGAGGTTCTTCCCCAAAATACTTGCTTAGTAGAGGATCCTTTGAATCTCTGCCTAGGCTCCACCCTGTACCTTAATCAGTGTTGTCAGGTGCATTCTTAATTATCAAGTGTTCATGGTTTTGGTTTCCTATCCAGTACTCCTCAAGCCACTGGTGTGCTTGTCAGTGCAGACAGTGCCGGCCAGGAGGCTCTTGGCTCTCTAGCCTCAGGTTTCTGACTGATCACTGCCTCCTGCACACAGCTCCAGGATACAAATCTCAGAAATAAAAGTCTCTTGGACAGCCTTAAGGCTGCACTGAGGATTCCCTAAGATTAGAGGAAAATTCCTTCTCTCCTGAGGGGGAGCTAGGGAGCTAGTTCTGGTCTCTGAGACATCACCCTCCACTCAAAGCAGAAAGAGCTCCAGAGGATAGCTTTGACCTGGTGGGATGCAGTCCTGAATTCCTGTAGCTCTCAGAACCTCAGCTCATGTGGGGCTACTCATTCCTTCTCTCCCCCAGTCTTCTTTGCCCCTCCTCTCAACCAAGGGCTCTTGGTGCCTTCTAGTTCCTTCTCTCTCACAGCCTTCTCCCGCCAGTCTCCCTAATCTCCCCAACCAGGGGTTCAGGTTAGAACTTTCCAGAATAAGAATGCTTCCCTGCTCTCTGGATGCCAAGCTTGCTTAATTAGAGACTGTCATTGGTAAAGTGATATTTTTGGAGATGAGCCTACCCAGGGTTTGATTCTTGTCAGCTGTGAGGTAGCCTGGGTGGGCTTTAGATGGTGCCCAGCAAGAGATGGTTTCTGGAGTTCAACCACAAAAAAATCTCAAATTCTCTGTTTAGTCTTTCATTCTAGTGAGTGGGCTGGGCCTTGGGCTTGTGATTTTGGGGCTAGGGTACCCAAACCCATTGTGTGAGTGGCACAGCCAAGGCTAGCCAGAGGCACAGCAGAGGTTCTTGTGGTCCTCCCAGTTATTCCACTTCAGCTTTTTTCCTTTAACAGGCCCTGAAGTCAACAAACTCCCCACATGGTGGCTCCCTTGACTAAAGTTGAGCATTAAATTTTGTATAAGGAGCCTTAGAGATTTTCAAATACTCCTCCAAGTTGAACTCATTTTGGAATTCAAGTGGGAGTAAGGATTTTAATGGGGTTCACCTTTGACATGGAGGAAGGTGGAAGTCAGGAAAGTCACAGTAGGCAACAGCCTTGGGTGCATTAGTTAAGAAAGACTGCTGGGGTTATCTGGTCATGTTTGCTGTGGGTTCTTTGTGTGGGAGCTGCTGAGCTGGCCAGAGGGCTGGCAGCTTAGGCATGTAAACACGGCAACCTAAAGTAGCAGACATACACATTCAGAGACTCGTCTCCCGGGAAGATGTGCTTTGATGCTTTACCAGAGACAGGTGATCAAGAGCAAAGCGGAAACTAAGAGGAAGCAGGCAGCTTTGCAACATCCACAGTCAGGAATAAGTAAAAGTTTGATTCTTGGAGGAAGTATTAAATCTCAGACAAAAGTGGGAATGTCACTGAAAATGAGAAACTCTCTCCTGGAAAAACCATGGAGAACTAATGTAGCTTATTTAAAGATTAGCTCCAAATCCTAGTAACAGGAAACACTCCTACTTAATTGCAATTTCCTCTAATTTTTTTGTGTTAATATCCAAGTAATTAAAATGCACACTAATGGTTATTGATGTCTCTATTTTCCTTTGAATACAAATACACCAGAGATCTTTTACTGGACTAGAAATGTACGAACCTTCTGGAAATATTCAGGAAGGTTCAAGGTGGATGTGGTCTTCCCTTATTGCTTTCTTCTTAATATTTCATTTTTAGCTAAAGAAAAAAATTAACCATTCCCAGGGAAGGGGTTCCCAGTAGGAGTCATCAGTGAGTGAACCTGTGCTGGGAATCTGCTTTCTAAGTCTGCCTGTATTTCCCCAAACAGAATTCAACTTGTAAAAAAAAAAGTGTAAGAAACACTTTTCTCACCCTTAAATTCTTAAAATTTCAACTCCCGTGGAAAACACAATGTCATAGTTTCAATTTTTAAAATCAGTAAGAGCCACAGAAACTGTGAAGGTGTACCAATAGGAAATGTAACGATCCAAACACCAGGACTAGCAAGAGATAAAAATGCTCTTCGCTGAAATCTAAAGTAGGGTTTGAGAAAGTGCTCAGGCATTCATGGACACCAACTGCAAGGGGGGGGGATGAATGTAAACAGCAGGGTGATTTAGGCAATGAATTGCCACAGTAACAGCACCACTGCCAAACCTTCAGATTTAGAGGCTGTGGTGAAAATTAAGCTGGGGCAATTTTCAACGTTTGGAGCATCTGCGCCCAAGCAGTTCAGCACCCAGAGCCTGGACAGCTCCACAGACTCTGCTCCCAAGGCAGCCTCAGCTCTAATCAATCTACAGAGACAGACTGTCAACACAGCCAGACTCGTTAGAGATTTACTGAAAATCCTCCAAGACTTCCCTTTAAAAACAAAACGACTTCCACATTTAATTGCCTATCTGGAAGAACATACGCAAGAAATTAGGAGACCTAAATTAAATTTATTAATAGGGAAGCTTGATAGTGCTTAATTCCTGAGATCGGAACACTCACTGGTAGGGCTTCATGGAAAAGTAACGAGAAGGCTCAGCAGAGATGCAGTAAAAACATGACTTCGCCATCCTCTAAATTCTATGAATTTTTTTACCTGTCCTTGAGAAACGGGTGAGATTGAAAACCATCAAAGTAATTGGACTTCTTAAAAATTGGATTGCATGAGTGAAAGGTGTTTATGAGAAGTCGATGACTCCGGATCTTATCATCCTAGAGGACAGCACAGAATAGTTAATATGTTCCTTGAGGGACTAGGATGCTGACGTCTTTTACTGATACCCGATCATTACGTGACTGAAAAAAAAAAAGGAAGTCATTTCATGAATAAAAATCGGAGCGCAACAGTGCAACCAAAATATTCTGTATTTAAAAGGCAATAGACAGATGTTGACAAAGAGGACTCTTCTGAAACCATGTTCGGATAGATTTTTTGTTAACTGCATGTATAAATACGAGCAGAAGGCCGGTCACCTCTGTAACCAACAGCAGCAGCCCAAGAAGCCGCATCTTCAGACGCAACCAGAGACCTCAGAGCTGAGAAGGCGCCACTGACTCTCGCAAGCTGCCTGACCCGGTGCTCCCACTGAGGCCGGCAGCTGGGCCAGCCCTCACCTTTTTCTTTCTCCTACCTTGACCCCCCCCCTTTCTTTTACCAGTAGCTTCTTTCTCCCGGTGGACTTAAAGCCACGTTGCTCCCCCCTCCCTTTGGCTCCTCGCCTCCTCTTTCTTCTACATCTCTCCTCGCCCCCTTCTTTTGGTGTCACGCTCCCTCCTAGTTTCGTGCGTCTACAAACTTTTGAGCAGAATACTAGCCTCGGCAAACAAGTCTCCCAGCTCCTCCTGCTAATTCCCGCGGCTTCTCTTCAGACACCAACGCCAGACGGTGATGCCACTCGGGTTGTGATTCCAGCGTAGAAACTTGAAGAAGTCCTTTGCCCACCGTCCTACTTGGCAGCAAACCTTCTCCCAGCAGCGGTAAGAGGAAGGGGGAAATCTTATCGAACTAAACGACTCTTTGCCTGCAGGTCTCCTTCCTGCCCTGCCGTCAGCCTCAGCTTGCGAGTTAGCTTTCTTTAGTTCCAGGTCTGGCTAGTTATTGGGCGCTGGGTAATACGCATACCTATTTTTTCCCAACTACAGCAATTGTGAAGTGGCAGGGCTCGCCGGCCGCGGCTAAGTGGAATTCAACCCAAGAAGCTGCAGCGTCGCTCCCTCCCCCAGCTCCCGGGAGTTTCTTAGGGGTAGGAGGGTGGAAAGCCTGGGGCGTTCTCAATCGTTGTGTGCCCTCTTTTCCCTCCTGCGCAGAATGACCATGTGTAGCGGAGCGAGGTTGGCCCTGCTGGTCTACGGGATAATAATGCACAGCAGCGTCTACTGCTCACCTGCAGCCACCGGACTCCGCTTCCCCGGGATCAGGTAGGTACTGGACACCTAGGCTGAGTTAGATCTTCCTTTCATCCGACACCTCCTCCTGGTCGCCCTCCGGCAGTTCCCGTTTGCAAGCTGCTAAGCATCGCTCCCTACGCCCCCAGTACGTTTCTGCCAGCCTTCGCCTAGGTACCAGGCTCCAGCCCAAGCTAAGCCGAGGAGTTTGGGGGCTGGGTGGCCTCTAGGAAGGCTAGACTCCTTTCCTCCTCCTCTGTGGAGCCCAGGGACCCAGGTGGAGGGAGCGAGTTTCTGACCGCTATAGAAACCTTCCCTCCCACAGCCTTGCTCAAGGAAAGGGTAGGGCAGCACCCCAGCTTGGTTTCTTTTACCTATTCTTAGGATGAGTTTGGAGAACTTCGGTTCCCAGAGCAGAGCCGGGGTTGAGCATGCAGCGCGCTCCACTTTGCTTTGTTACAGCTTGCTCTGGACTATTGGGGCGGGGTCTCTCGCTCTCCGCCCTTCCTATTCATCTCATTTCCAATTCTTTCCCACCCGAAGAGCTTTATTTCTAGTGACTCCTGTTTCAATTGGAGTTTGAGCCCCAGATGACTTGGGAATGGGGTGTGGGTCAGTTACGTTAAGGGAAAGCGACTCGAGAGAAAGAAGATTGCGAGGGAGGGAGCAAAACGGACGCGAAGGAGGAAGAAAAGCAGGCAGGACCCGGAGCTCAGCCTCGCTCGTCTCAGGATGGAGAACCCCTGGCTTGAGTCTTAACTCCTAGTTTTAATAGTGCGGTTCCCCACCGCAGCCCCAGAGCCCCCCACCTGTGTGCGGGACAGTGGACACGCAATGGGCAGCGCAGCGTCGGCGCAGGGTGGCGCTCCCGGCAGTAAGGCGCGCTGGACTAACTGGCTCTTGGGGCCGCGCCCAAGAACATTCGCCTTGGGGCGGGGGGGGGGATCTGACCATGGATGTGGCCGCAGAGAAGAGTTCTAGCTTCTGTATTACGATTCTGGCACAAGGACTCAGGGCAGGTCAGAGAGTATTTTGAAAGATATGGGTTCAGGGTCCTGGGACCAGAAAGGCTGAGCTTGGGCCGTGTGGAGGAGGAGCTCGCCTTGCTTCAGAGTCTCTCCAGGGATGCAGGAAAGGCCTGCGACTCCAGTGTGACTTGAACCCTGCTGCATTCCAAGTCCCCAAAGCGAAGGGGCTTGTTTTAGTTTAACTTTTCCCGTCCCATATTAAGGATGGAAACAGTTGGTGAGAGAACGCTGGTAACCTAAGGAGTGTCACTTCCTAGCTGATCCTTTCCCTGCACTCTGGGGTTAGATGGGATCCTGCTACCCTGCTATCGCTCACAGATTAGCGGGAACTCTTTATTCAATGGACTTGAAAACTTTATTTCACCTCCAGCTATTTTCAAAGTTAGCCCTATGCCTAGCACTTTTCCTGGGTGATAGGCACCGGAGCGCGTGGATATACCACAGAATGAGTGGCTGCCAAACTGACTAAGTTTAGGGGCATTTATTATTCATGTTCCTAGCAGATCCTCTCAGGACCAGAATAGAAGCTGGAGGTTCTCCGTGACCTACATCTGCGCGGGGAAGGGCTCCCCTGGGCTTGGCGGCTCGGGTGGGGGGTGGCTGCTGCTGGAGTTGGCTGCCTACACCCTACCTACCCACCTAAGCTTTCTATTCCATTCTGGGTCTCCCTTTCCCAAGTCTTTACCTTGGTCAGCATCTCATTTACGACATTTCTCACCAGCGCTTGGTGCTACTTAGGGAAGGTAGGGAGCCCAGGTCGGGTGAAGGACAGTCCTTTTCCGTGGTCAGGTATAGAGGACTGCAGACTCCACGGTTGCCCAGTGCTCCCACAGGCAATCTTTGATCCGCCTGAGGGGTGGGCGAATCGCCTTGCCTTTAGGAATTGCTGTTGGGTGTAGTTCCCTTACCTCTGTCTGGAAGAAAGGATAACTCGGGGGGGGGGCATTATGAAGAAGGAAATCAGTGGGATTCTTTCTTTGGGTCTTGGCAGAGTTGGACAGGGACTTTTAGTTGACCCTCCTAACGGCTATCCCGCAGGCCAGAGGACGAGGCGTACGACCAGGACGGAAACCAGCTGCAGGACTTCTACGACTGGGACCCACCAGGCGCCGGGAGCCCCGCCTCCGCCCTGCGTGATGCCTATGCCCTCTACTACCCCGCGGAGAGGAGGTACTACCCACCCGACCTAGGCCTGAGGTGGTGGGAGGGCCAGGGTGGTACTCCAGGACTAGGTCTGGTTCTATGAAAGTCCTCAAGCTTCACTTTTCCCTGGGTATCCACACGTGAGAGCCACAGAAAATTAGCTGGCGTATCCGTGAGGCCGCTCCGAGGGACAGAGAGCTCTGTAGCCCGAAGCTGTGATTCTGGAAGCTCAAAGGCCACGGAGGCCACCCCAGAGGCCAAGACTAACTCTGGGTCTTAGATTCACTCCCGAGAACGTCCGGGAGAGTTACTCCCAAGTAGAGAGCCGCTCGCGTTTGCTCGGTCACCCTCCTTAAAGGCCAAAAGGCACAGGAGCCTAGCAGCCGGGGATCCTAGGCTGTCACCTGGCGAGACTAGGCCGTGACCCTGGGTCCACTTTGCCTTCCCATTAGAGACATCGCCCACGAGATCCTTAACAAGGCCTACCGCAAAGTCCTGGACCAGCTGTACCTGCAGTCCCTCGTGGCCAAGGGTGTGGGGTAAGAGTTTGTGAAAGAGTTAACGGGCACGTGATGCTGTGGAGGGCGCGAGGGTTGGGCGGGGCCGCTTCTACGCCTGTGCGTGCACGCGGGCCCAAGGTGCGTCTGCGCCCAGGGATGGGGATGGGTGGCGCCCGCCGCCTGCGAAAATCTAAAAATTAGGCGTTAAATTTGACCCAAGAGAGAGCGAGGCTGTGAGAAAGAGGGCAAGAAAACTGGAGATTTTGATCTGTTTTGAATGAGCACCAAGCCAATAACCCCATTCCAATCATTCGAAAACCTTCGAGGTTCGCGAGAGGATTTTGTTATTTCTTTTAAGCTTAGCATTTTGGGGGGAGGGACTTTGCGTTTACTATAAATGCAAATCAAGGGATCCAACTCGCTAAATTTGAATACGTAAGGAAACAGTTTTTGCTCCCGCCAGACAAACCCAGAGCTGAGGTCTTGCATGAAGCCTGTGTCAGCAGAAGGCAACATTTTAATAAAGCCCACGGGGAAGCGGATTACATTTTCACAATGAATAATTCATGCGGTGAAAAATATTGCCTACAGCCTGTCGCCTTATATTATTATCACGTTTTTCAACTTAGCGATGTGGGATCCATACGTGGCTGGAGCCCACCTGGCATTTAGCCTTGGGTCATTTTCTTTGTATATCAGGTGGTGGGAAGGTGCAAGTCAGGACGATTTAGCGCAAAGGCTCGGATAGTCAAGTCTTACCAGACAGGATACAGAGAAAAGATTAAAGCGGCGTGCTGATTTCCTGGACGATCTGGACTGGTACTGGAAGATTTAGGGCTAGGAAATCGTGGCTAGGAAGGAGGGACCCAGGGGTCTTCATCCCGGCCTGACCTCCAGCCGCTTCCCAGCCGAGGAGGGCAGCCGAAGATCCGAGCGAACCTCGCGGGCTCGCAGCGGGCTCCCGCGTGGGGTGGGGCCCGCTTGCTCCCCACAGCTAATAAGTCTGTGTCTTCTGCCCCGCCTTCCCCTCTCCTTGCAGTGGGAATTTAGGTGGCGGCACTGAGGATGACTCGATGCCCCTCTCCAAACGCCACTCGGATGGCATCTTCACGGACAGCTACAGCCGCTACCGGAAACAAATGGCAGTCAAGAAATACTTGGCGGCCGTGCTGGGGAAAAGGTATAAACAAAGGGTTAAAAACAAAGGACGCAGAATAGCCTACTTGTAGCGATGAGTTGTCAGCTACCCTGTGTATACAATGAAAAGTCATTTTCCAAACTGACTGAACAGTCATCGCTCATGTGTTGTATCCAAACATGTATTTATGTATGAAGTAAAGCCATTAAATGAATATTTTGATAATAATATTGTTTTTCTTTTTACAAAGCACTAGAGAATGCACAGATATACTTTGTGGACCAATTATTGATATATTATAAATATATATAAAGAATATATAGGTATAACAGAGAGCAATTCATACGAAGTCTGCACAAGGATTGAAAATTCACCGGAGCTGTTTATGTTTTTATATAAAATGAATAGAAAAAAATAGACAATCATTGTTTTGAATATTACTCCTATTTTTGTAAACTGGAATTAAAAGGATAGTATTTTTATCCACAACAGGCCTGAAGATATTAATATTGACCATTTGCTACTGTACATAAGCAGTGATGCCCTGCTCCACGGGAGTTCTGAGGTGATGACGTGGAGAATTGCTGATGGCATTCTTTCCCAGTGAGTCTCTGGGGCAGGCTGCTGGAACCCCAGCCTAACTGAAGTCAAGTGGGCATTGTCCCACTGGCTGGGTGGCAAAACCCAACACTTTCGCTTTCTTTGATTCTACTTTAACGTGTATTTATCTCTCTTTAGACTCTCAGCCCAGAAAGAAATTCTAATTAAACAACAGCTCGATCCAAATTGTGCTTTTCCCTAGAATTCACGTCATTCCCTGGGAGAAGGATTGAAGAATTGTACAGAAGAGAGCGGCTTGGAAAAAGAGCTCTCTTTTCTGTTATTCCCGATTCTCCAGGGAACCTAATATCCCAAGGCTAGGGCAATTGGACCAAAGTGAGAGAAATGGAGGTGTATTGGAAGACGCAGAGCAGGGGCGGCAGAGGAGGACCCTGCAGAGGGACAAGTTTGAGGACTACCCCAGGTCTGGGAAGCTGGGGGCAAGTCCCGCCCCTCCGCAGGGCCCCCTGCCTGACTGATGTTGGGCGCTGGGTATTGGAAATGGTGCAAAGTACAATGTGTTTTTCTCCAGTGCTGTCCATGCTTCTCATCTCCTGAAATGGCCCGGATCCTCCCCTTTGAACCCTGCTCTGTAGAAGCCACCCTTGTCCTTTGTGGGTTTTCTGGACACCCCTCCTTCCTGCCCTCCTGCACTGTTTTAAGTATCGTTTACCATTTTTCATTCACTTACCTTAAATTTGTGAATGCTTCTCATTTTTTTTGGTTGTTGTTTGATGCAAGCAGTTATTGTAAAGTTTAGGAACCCGGTGTAGCTACCACGAAGTAATTATGCACTAAGTATGAACCTTTTGTTTCTTGTTTATTGAGTTTGTAGGTAAAATGTATTTTTCTACATTATGGCTTATTGCTTAGTAAAATTTATTTCATAAAACCAATCTTTGTCATATTAGAATGTGTAGTCTTCACATGTTGCTCAGTTTGACTAACTGATAAATCATTTAAACCTCATCTTCATATGTACGAGTACTATCTTCTATCTGTGGTCAGGAGTGAGGTAAGCAAGCTCCCACAACCCACCCTTGTATCCTGTCTTGGCTAAAGAAAGCATGTCTGTTTCCTGTCAATTTCTTGAACATATATAGAGTAATCTTTATAAACAAAAGAACCTTCACCCAGCAACCAGATCAAGCAGCAACAAACCAGCCAATCTCCTAAATTTTAGGCACAGATTTTTGGAAAAAAAAAATCAAGATAAAAAATTAAGCATTAGTTTGCAAAGTTTAAAGGACTTTTCCTTTTTCCTTTACGAATTTGGTCAGCATGAAGTCATACATCAAAGAAAACAATTGTATTTGCATTCCCAGGCGGGTGGATGCTGCCCGGAGATCACATTGCAAACAGAGAGCAGCCTGTGAGCTGCTACAGGAACAGTCTTTAAACCTGCAGTCTCCTCAGGCAGTGTGACACGGGATGCAGTTCGCAGCTTTAGTGCCTTTCTTCGCCTTTGAAATCGCCACGAACCACAGATGGCTATTTAGTGGCCCTACAATGCTGCAACACATCAGCTTGCATTTTAGTCTTAATTATTTGTTCCTTGGATAATGGGCAGAATTTTCTGTATTTGTGTCAGCTGTTAGTGGTGAAATAGGGCTCTAGTTAACCTTTTATTTATAAAGTCTAATTTAGTGTTCCCGTGGCTAGTTGCAAGCATTTTACAGTGATCACCCAATTTAATCTTTTGTATACTTTTTAGAAATGCCAAGAGCCTTACTAATCTGGAGCAGATTTATGATATAGTGATAATTTAGGTAGATGTTAGTCTTGAAGCTTTTATTTTGTGTGCAACTGATTATAAAACATCTTAACCAAGTATTATTACACACATGATATCTATAACTAGGACTTTGATAACTGTTATATAAAGTGTGTAAAATTTGTATAAATAAATTTTTGTAAACAATGCACCTTGGTCTAATGTTTGGAGAAAAAAAGACATTCAGGAAACAACTACTTTAAAATCTTTTAAAGTATTATATTTCTTTAGCAACCATAAGATTTTTTTATGTCTGGAATATTTATCAACCTAATCATTCACGCACTTCATAAACTGTACTTTAATTTCTGCTTGATGGGTTACTAGATTCAGCTAAAAACTTAAAGTAGCTGCTCAGTTGGAGATGTCTAGAAGACATTAAGTTTATAAATAGACACAGATGTTAGGACATTTATAAGACACACAATTTGATTAATTTTTGTCCCTTAGCGTACTTATACATTGCTCAGTATTCAGAAAGTTACTAGGGAGCGGTGACAGATCATACTGAAGTGTTAGGTACACTTATTAGGTAGCTAACTTAAAAAAAACTAAGTACCTGTATATAACTGGGTCTTCATACAATTTTGCATAAAAATAATGGGAAGTTGTAGAATGTGTTTAGAGACTGACGAGGTTATCTCTCATTACAATGTTTTGGGTAGAAGGGTCAAGAGTATGATTAAGCAAAGAGTTAAGAAAATAACTTTAGGAGAAAATATACTTTGAAGCCTAGGACAGAACATGAAAAGCTATTTGTGGAAAACATACTTTATTAGTTCATGTTAGTAAGTATCAAAGGAAAGCCTTCATATGACATTCCCATAAATTCCTCGGTTGTGTGCTTCTTAGTGTCCCTATTTAATTCCGGGTTAAAATTTCATTGGAAATCACTTACAATAGGTCACACAATTTCATTTAAAATGGCAGATTTTCATCCTAAAATGAATGAGCTTAATTAATAAATCATCAAGTTTATCACAATAGTATTTGAAGACCAGCAGGAATTAAAAGAATAGTTTTAGAGATAGCTCAGCATTTTAGGTCCAGAATCATACATAGAGAAGCCCCAAATCTAGAAATCTTGTATGTAGAAAAATTTAAAAATACATAGTATAGTACATATTTACATCATTTTTTACTGGATAAAGAGTTTTTTTTCTTCATTAGTAATTTGCCTCCCTCTGTGGATTCATAGTATGGTCAATGGGAAAAATGGAGAAAGATAATTTAGTTGGTTGAAGATGGAAGCAGCGTCTTGTCAAGAAAATAAAGATAAAACCTCAGGATATATGATTTTGCTTGTTCTATTTTTTCACTTGTTCTATCTTTTTTACACAAAAACCTTAATTATGGGTTGTATTATGAAGACTTTAGGTAGTTGAGTGTTCAAGAGGCCATAATATGTATCTTATTGCTCTGAGGACTGGGAACAGTAATTCAATATACCACATATTAAACACCTGAAATGGGAAGTGTGCTGGTCAAAGAGCTCCACTCACACCAAGTTGTGTTTTTAAAGTGTTTTTCTGTTATGGGATCACTTGGATGTCTTGTTAGTGATGCAAATTCTAGGGTCACACCAGAACCAGTGAGTTTGCATTTAAAAAAAAAAAAACCTACATTAATGTGTAATGAGATCACTCAGATTTAGAACTTGATGACATATATGTATATATGCCATCCTCCTTGCACCCAGTGATAAATAAAAAAGCCATATCCTTCCAGAATGGTCTTTAGGCTCTTGGATAAGTGCAGTATTTCCTTTAAGGCCACAAATTACTATTATTTCTACCATTATTACTACTATTATTGAACTCTCTGGTTGAGCCAGAGAGTTTTTTAT